TGATGAAACATAATTAATTATTCTGAAGAAAAGACTAGCAAAGGAGTTCCAAATTAAGGACCTGGGAGCTCTTAAGTATTTCCTTGGAATGGAATTTGCAAGATCTAAGGAAGGCATATTTGTCAATCAGAGAAAATATGTTCTTGATCTCCTTGGAGAAACAGGTCTACTTGGTTGTAAGATGGTTGAAACTCCGGTTGAGCCAAACTTGAAGTTACAAGCTGCTAAGGTTGAAGAAATGGCAGGGAACAATATCAGAGACTTGTAGGGAAGTTGATTTATTTGTCTCATACACGGCCTGATATTGCTTTTGCAGTTAGCATGGTAAGTCAATTCATGCACTCACTAGGGGCGGAGCATTTCGAGGCCGTTTATAGGATCTTAAGATATTTGAAAGGAACTCCAGGAAGAGGCTTATTGTTCAAGAAACATGGACATCTTCAAGTTGAAGTCTACACAGACGCAGATTGGGCAGGAAGTGTTACAGACAGAAGATCAACGTCTGGATACTGTTCCTTTGTTGGAGGAAACCTAGTTACATGGCGGAGTAAAAAACAAAATGTGGTAGCTAGAAGTAGTGCTGAAGCAGAATTCAGAGCCGTTGCCCATGGAATCTGCGAGGCGATGTGGATAAAAAGGATTCTTGAAGAATTGAAGTTTTCTTACTCGACTCCAATGAAGGTCTATTGTGACAATAAAGCTGCTATTGCTATTGCTCATAATCCAGTTCTTCATGATCGCACGAAACATATAGAAGTGGATAAACATTTCATCAAGGAGAAAGTCAATGCGGGAATAATATGCATGACATATCTTCCAACTGATGAACAATTAGCTGATGTACTAACGAAGAGACTACACAAGAGGCAATTTGGTAATCTGACTAACAAGCTGGCTATGGAAGATATCTTTAAACCAGCTTGAGGGGGAGTGTTGGAAATTTGGTCATTGAAAGCCTTGATTTAGTCATAATCTGTGAGATATTCTAGGATTTGTTCTCTATGTAAATCAAGAAAAAGTAGGAAAGTAGAAGCTGTCAAATATTGGCTCTAATTAGTTTCTTTTTTGTTGTAATTTCACTCTGTATAAAAGGAGTCTTGTACTCATTCAAGAAATAAGACACATATTATTTCTTCATTCTTTTCTAATTACTTCAAAAGAATTTTAATAATTCTTTTTTCTTATGGTTTTTTTTTATAAAAATTGGAGGTATCATTAAAAATTCCCTTCGTATTTGTCCACATACTAACAAGTATGTTAACGAACATTGGAATGAAGAAAAGAGTACCTCATATTTCATTAAATAAAATACCCAATACATTTGAAAACACGGAATACCCTCATGCAGGAATAGACACTATTACAAAAAACCAGAATCACCTAAAACTCTCACCTCGTCAGCCACAAAGCCCAAGAGACAATCACATATTCCTAAGTTACACCTCCAGCAAAAGAAAAACCACCCAACACCTAAGGACATAATAGAGCAGTAAAACATCTGCAACCATTAAAACGAATTCATCCTCCTCTAAAGAGAACTCCCCTAAATGAATCAACACGATCCAATGTCATCAAAATGAATTCAGCTCCTAAAGATATCTTCAATGGAACAAAACCAAACTTCCTTCCCAACAATCAATATGTCCTTGCAACTTTATTCAAAACTCCTTTCTTTTGCTTTCCTTTCTTCACCACACGATTTCTACTTAATTTCCCGGGGAAAGAGGGCACTGCTGAGGTATCTTCCTGTAATTGTATTGCGTCACCAGGAAGACCATTAGAAGGAAAGAGACCCATCATAAGAACATCTTCCGAGGCCCAAGGGATGACTCCATCAGAAGGGTCAACTGATTTATCAACTAGATGCTCCACGATATTTATGTTTGAATGATCCAAAGCCTTCGTTGAATGACACCCTGAATTTGAACAAGGGGATGGAGACAATCCTAACCCAACACCGACATACCCGCTTTTAATTAGATCATCCTCACCAAATTTGTTACTCGAATTCTCAACACCTTTGGTACTCTTCAGGAGTGAAACTTTTTCTAGGCTGGCAACTTCAATTGCAACATCTTCGTCAGTGCAATTTAAACCGGAAGAGAAAACCGACGATCCTAACTAAGAAGTGTCCGGTGAAGCCCAAGAGGACAAACAAGATATAAAGAATCATCAACTTCCTTAGGGACCTAAGGCTTCGGTTTGAAGGAATGCTCAACTTAATGCACCAGGATTTTAAAGAAATTAGCACCGACCTTCAAACCCACTTACTCATCAATTCTCACTTGAGCCTTTGTGAGGATTTGAATTTTTGCCCGATCAAAAGACGAAGGAAATTGAGAACTTTCGTCGACCGCTAATAATTTGCCCCACCTTTTTTTGATAGGAATGTAGGCCTCGTTGAAAACCCCCTTTATGATTAATGGAACACTAAGTGCTTCTCAATCAGCGGAAGGAGGAAAAGAGTGCCTTAAGATTCATTAAAAACCACAATATACATAATGTTTAACAACAACACATAAACACTCCCTTTACATAATCCAACCCAAAGACTACAAAAGCAAATCACAAATGTAAAAATTTGCCCCACCTTGCTGCAATGTTCTTGAAAGTACCCCAATTCCAAGCGTGAAAAAGAATTCCTTCGCAAGCTACCCACACTCGACGGCACTCCATCACCAGACTCTCCAACCAAGCTGCAACACTGGAAAACCACTCTGCAAGAGTATCTGATTTTTCATTCTTCACACTTCTCAACGTAGCAGAGTTTTCAAAAATCAATAGAACTACATTCCTAGCAACTCTCATTAACGAGAAACCACCAAGGCCTTTGTCTTGCATTTGGCTAGCAAGATTGCCGATTTTGATAAAGTTCTTGCACCACCCCATTAGATAGTTTCCCAACACTTGAAGTTTAGCTCCATCAACAACACCTTCTACTGCATATAGATTATTCCTTGTAACCACATCCATCCATTCTTTCGGACAATGGCGAGGTCTTTCTCCAATAAGATTGTAGAGGCTTGTATTTAGCCAAAGAGACATCAATTTTGCTGCCGTCAATGTGAGAATCATTCATCTTTTAGATCGCTTTCCTGGCTTCTTCAATTGTTGCAAAGCGTATGAACTCGAAACGAACCCCCTTTGTATTTCTTTTGGTTGGAATGAAGGCATCAATTACCTGACGGTGAGTGCAAAATAAATATCCAAACCTCTTTCAATGGATCTTCTCTGGTAAGTTTTCAATGTATAACGTATAGCATCCAATTCTGTAACCATTACTGTTTTTTGGGTGGCCTTCCTTCCACCAAATATTATTACCGATTTTCCCACTTCTTACTACTGCACCAGACTTGTCACCACAACACCCATCCTCCATTGAGACACCCACGTTAGAAAAGACCAAACGGACGCCACCACCAGGCTACAGAGAAGCGTCGAGAGTATAAAGAAAAGCACATGCAAGACGAGAATTTCTTAGGTCTTCGAATGGGATGCCGTGAACCACAAAAGAAAACGCGCAGTGGGGCTTTTACCAGGACATGCACGAGCTATATCTTATGGGTCTTGGACGGGGATGACGAAAAACACCAAAACACGCTGGAGAAGGTGAAAAGTCGTGGCCTACAACTTGGGATCTACGCCAATAGGGAGTTTTTCTCGCAAAGAAAGGTCCAGATTCGGAAACACGATGAAGAGACGAATCTCCCTGTGAAATTTGGGTTCGAACGGCGGTCGGAAAGTGGCGGTAAACGACGGTGAGAAATGTCGGAGGATAACAACAACGGAAGAAGTTGAGAAGCACCGAAGGGGGACGAACGATTGACACCTGATTCTTATGAGGAGCTAGAAGGTCCCCTAGATTCTAGAGAGAAGCGGGAGCTTCTCTCACTAACTCCCCAATTTGAGATTGCTTTTTCTTCTGGTTTTTATTTTTGATAAAATCATTATATTAAAAATAAAAATTAGATCAAATTGATAATTAAAGTTTTGTATTGTGAAAAAGATTTTTACAATTCAATTATTCTTATTATAACAATAAATTCAAGTTATTAAAGGTTTATGATCAAGTCGATCTCAGTAATGTCAACCACTGGACTTAAGTCATTTTGGGATCAAGCCATAAGAGTTTGGCTTCAGTTCTAATCTTTGAATAAAAAAAAATCTTGTGTGAAATTTCAGATTTTTTGGGTCAGGTTTACTGGCTTGGATTTATTTTGTTAATTCTAATAGTGTGGTACGAAGAAACACACGATTTAAATGGAAACACGTTCCTCTATGAACATTTAAGAAAGAGAGTGAAAGGGTAAAACAAATTCTAGATGTTGAAGGCAACAATTATATTTTCAAAGTAACAATGATTTTTTTATAAGAAAGGGAGGCCTCATTAAGAAATCCCTTCATATCCATTGAAATACAAGAAAGTATCTCAATGAAAATTGGAAGGAGGAAAAGAGTGACTCAAATTTATTATAACTCCAATAGAAAGTACAAAAGATACGAAGTTCCTATCAAGGCCAAAAACAACAATCGAGCCTATAATACTATAAGCATAACCAGAAACTAGGATACAACAGAAACATTTAGCATATTCCTAACTTTGCTAATTCATCCGCTTCCCAGTTTGCACATCTTTGAATGTGTTTGACTATTATGCTACGAAGTAACAATGATTTTGATAATCTTATTATGTCTGAAACAAAAACTATAAATGCATTAAGTGTTTAAGAAAATTTTTGAGGTACTCTTTTCCTCCTTCCAATGTCTGTTGAGATACATTTTTGTATTTAGACGGTTATGAAGGGGGTTTTAATGAGACCTCCCTTTCTTATAAAAAAATAAGTGTTTAAGAAAATGATTTTGCTAGACGGCTATAGCAACAATTTTATTTTCAAAGTGACAACGCTTTTGATAATCCTGTTCTGTTTGAAACAAAATCTATAAAAGCATTAAGTGGTTAAGAAAAGGATTTTGCTAGATATTTTATTATATAGTTTTACCTTCAACGCAGCATCATTCAGTTGTAGTTTTTCCAGTGCATCACGCAACTCTGGGAACCTGCCAATGATACATTACATAGAAATGGATAATGCCACAGATACGGGCACCAATGAATGTTTGAAATTCAAGAGAAAGGAAAAATGAATGTACTGACTGGTCTGCATCAACAGGAAATAGGCCACAAAAGACCATTGGAGTGGCTTCTTCATATCCGGGTAATGAGCTTTTTGCCTTTCTATCATAGTGAGTAATAGTGTCACCCACTCTAGCATCTGCAACTGACCTTATTGATGCCGAAAGATACCCTACCTAAAAGTATTAAAATAATATAAAGGTTGAAAAAAGAAACAGAACTGGAAAAAAGTTCAGTTAAGACAGAGAAGACATAAAAGTATCAAAATTACTCAGAGCTTAAATGGTCATATCATACAGCAATTGCATCTGGCACTAGCAAAGTAAGCTTATATTCAAGTGGCACTTGTCAAGAAATTGCAAATATGTTTAGTCAGGATGCTCTAATTTGGTATGAGGACTTCCCATTTCTATTTTCTACCCATTTCCATTCATCAAATATTCAAATATGCTCAACACATGATTTGAAGCTATTCTATACCCTATCGATGAGAGGGTTTGGGAAATGATGTTACTTCCCAAATTACTTGGGTTAGGGTCATTATGACCTTAATTCGGGGTATTATCCCACACTGAGAAAAACAATGTCATTCGTTCCCTATTATTTATAACTATTAGTACAAGCTGACCTGAAAATGAATGCAGTGCAAAGTAATTCTCATCATCATTCTTATGATAAATACAAAAGGCAATTCAAACAAAATGATATCATAAGCTTCTTAATGAATGGAATGGAAAAGAAAAAATGACACCAGAAGCTAATGTGGTAAAATTAAAATGTGTGAAAAAAAGTGCTTTGCTTAGAAAACCGAAACGAAAACATTATCTTAGATCAAAGACTGCCGGTGTGAAATCTATCTCTTTATGAATTTATCTTTATGGTATAAAAGTAAAAGTTGAAGGTGTAGCACAACCTCAAGTCAACAAAATGTGTTCTTGAACTCAACCAGCATGAGCAGCCTGAAACTAATGCCCGAAACTAAAATGATTTGAACCATGGATGACCCAAACCAAACCAGCCCACAAAAAAAGAAAATAAAAAATATGTTACAACGCCTTTTGAGAATGATAGAAATCCTCACCTCTGCACAAAAGAGAGAAAGAGAAAAGAAATGCAAGCAGAAAACAGAATAACACCATTTGAGAACAAACACAAGTAGGAACAAATAACCATCCATAAATTTCAATTTACCTCACCCGCATACAATTCGTCCACCTGTAGCTGGTTGGGAGATAAAACTCCAACTTCATCAGCAAAATAATCCTGGATACAAAATGTAAATTATAAGAACTTTTATGCGAAGGATGAAAGAAGCTGTACATTCTATATAGAAGGGAAACAGAAAGAATACGATAAATAACATTGTACCTTCTGACTGGCCATAAAATAAATTCTGTCACCTTTCTTTATCTTCCCATCTATGACTCGAAAATATACAATAACACCACGATAAGGATCATAGTAGCTGTAGAGACATTAAAAATAAATTTCATCACAAAGCAAATTACAAATTGATTATTTACTATAAATGGAAAAATTAAAAATTGCAGCTATCAGAAGAGAAAATAAACATTTCTATGCATCACATGACTGAAACCTGAAAAGTGATTTGAGTATAAGACATTATAGTTCACCATTGACATTTATGTCATTAACTTATTCAAATTCTAGCATTAGAATTCAAGACCATAGAAAGAATTTAGGAGGAAAATTATATTACATCCACAAAAAGATAAATGAGCCAACAAGATGCTAGACATGATCCGTAAATGATCCATAAGACAAGTTGATATAATCAATAAGTTCAATGAACAAAACAAAGCCAGAATTATACCTATCAAATATTAAAGCTCTTAGTGGACTCGTAGCAACATCAGGAGGTGGAGGAATTCTTTCAACAATGGCATTAAGAATTTCTGTTATACCAATTCCCTCCTAACGACAGAAAAAACCTATGTTTAGAATTACCAGCTATGACATAAAGAAACTATATTGAGCATGTAATTAGGGGGTGATATTGAACTAACCTTAGCTGAGCAGCGTATTGACTTGCTACAGTCTAAACCAATAACCTACAAAGTAGTGGCGACTTAGCAATAGTTCCAAAACACTCAGATTGATTATCATTTATTATGATTAGTAAATCAAGCAGATGGATCTGTTTACAAAATTACAAACTGTATACATCACCATAATTTCACAGAGAACCTGTGAGAGGATGCAATGTAAATAGATTTATTTACACACAGACTGTAGGAATTATAGCAATGAGCTGTCAAGAGATTCTGTAATTATTTTCTGTTTTTCAAATCCCTTATTTCAAGGGATTACATCTCCTAGGATTAGTATCTTTCCTAACTTAGAGTTTCCTAGTTTAGAGGCATAATTTGTATATAAATATGTAATATGTTTCTACTGAAAGTATGCAAGAATAAAATAACAGACTTGACTGTTTCCTACAGTCTGTTTTCTACTATACAGTCTGTTTTCTTTCTATAGTCTGATTTCTACATGGTATCAGGTTAGAACGATCAATCCGATTTCCGCTTCTCTTTAAATCAATTCATGTTCAACTCTATTTTTTTTCATGGCTAATCGGGATCCCTCAGCATCCGAAATCACTTCCCAGACCAACCCATCTCAATCTATTTTTCAGATTTCATATTTTCAGTGCTGTAGAGGCAAAATCGCCTCTGGTGTGAACATTGTAAGAAACCAGGCCATATGATAGATCAATGTTGGAAGCTGCACGGAAAACCAGCCGACTGGTAGCCCACACGGTCCAGGTTTCAAAAGGAGGCCCATATTCCCTCTCAAGATGATTCCTCAAGCAGTTTTAGCAAGAAACAGATAGAGGAGCTGCAGCAAATTTTGGGCAGTATGACAGCCAAGCCTACCAATGTGACTTATACTGCTATTGATGGAAATAATCCATATGCTTTCTCGTTACAATGGATAATAGACTCGGGTGCATCAGATCATATGACATGAAATATTGATCTCTTGGAGGAATATAATGAAAGCAGCTTACCAGCTTCTATCAAAATAGCAGATGGCTCTCTCACTACAGTCAAAGGGAGTGGTTCTGTTACATTAAACAAAAATCTAATACTTCATAATGTCCTCTATGTTCCTAGACTTGCATGCAATCTGCTGTCAGTCAGCAAATTAATTAAAGATTCTGGTTGTAATGTTATGTTTGGTACTGGTGGTTGCATTTTTCAGGCACAGGACTCGAAGAGGGTGATTGGCAGTGCTAGGTTGGGCAAAGGATTGTACACCCTTGGAGGTAAAGCATCTCATAATCATGCCTTATCCAGTGCTCTTAGGAAACCAATTTTATCTTCTGATCTCAATATTGATAAAATTATGTTATAACACTCTAGATTAGGTCATCCTAATTTTTACTCTCTTTCCAAAATGCTACCGAACTTATTTATAAATAAAGATCCTTCTTTGTTTTCCTATGAAATTTGTCAAATAGCCAAACACACCAGAAAACCATATATTGCAGCCAAATTTGAACCAACACCACCATTTTCCATCATCCATAGTGACATTTGGGGCCCTTCTTCTATCAAAAGTATTTCTGGTTATAAGTGGTTTGTGTCTTTTATAGATGATTACTCTAAGACAACATGGGTATTCTTAATGAGAGAAAAGTCTGAGGTTGAGTCTCTTTTTAAAAGTTTTTATCAAAAAGTTGAAACCTAATTTGACACAAAAATAAAAATTCTGAGGAGTGACAATATGAGTGAGTATTTGAATAAAATTCTTGGGTATTTCTTTAAGGAAAAAGGCATTGTTCACCTTACGTCTTGTGTCAACACACCTCAACAAAACGGGGTAGCAGAAAGGAAAAATAGACATCTTCTAGAGGTTACTAGGTCTCTTCTGTTTGCTGCTAATGCTCCTAAGTATCTTTGGGGGGAAACTCTTCTTACAGCCACATACCTCATCAATAGAATGTCAAGTAAGACTTTAGATTTCAAAATTCTTACTAAGGTTCTGTTTCAACTTTTTCCCATTTTAAACATTTAAACTCAAGTCTTTCTCCTCGGGTGTTTGGGTGTACAACCTTTGTTCATATCCACAACAGAGGGAAATTAGATCCTAGGTCCATAAAGTGTGTGTTCTTGGGCTATTATTCGAGTCAGAAGGGTTACAAGTGTTACTCACCTTCCACAAAAAAGACATGTCTCCTTTGATGTTACATTTTTTGAAAACCAACCTTATTTTTCGGGAACAGAAATTCAGGGGGGGAGAGTTACAAGGAATTTCAGCATGTTCAAACCAATATTTCTTTACAGCCTATCCGTTCTTTACCTATTACTGTCTCTCCAAAGCCGGCTAGCACAGTTCCAATTCCTAGTGAGGGTGATGGGAATAACCTAAATAACTCTGATGAATTACCTTTCTTCTTACCTCAGAACTCTAGTCTGTGCAAAACCCCTTCCACCACTATAAAAAATGCACCTAACAATGACCCTGAAACTATAACTCCCCATCCGAAACAACTCAGTGTTTACTCAAGAAGAAGGAAAGATGTTGCTGAAGAAATCAGTCAGCCTAGCATTCGCCAAGAACCAGATTCGGATCCTGTTGCCTCTGAAAGCCAAGAACTAGATTCGGATCCTGTTGCATCTGAAACAGAAGGTAATGATGGTTACCAAGAGGCTACTACTGTTGATCTTGATGACTTTCCTATTGCCATTAGGAAGGGGGTAAGAAAATGCACTGCTCATCCCATAAATAAGTATGTTGCATATGGGAAATTACAGTCTAATTTCAGGGCCTTCACTGTCAGCATTAATAGTGTGAAAATCCCAAGAAATGTGACAGAAGCATTTCAATCTCCTGAGTGGAAAAGACTGTGGAAGAGGAGATAAAAGCGTTGCAAAAGAATAAGACATGGAGTTTGACAGATTTGCCAAAAGGGAAGAGAGTTGTTGGATGTAGGTGGATATTCACAGTCAAATATCATTTGGATGGGAGTGTGGAAAGATACAAGGCAAAGCTGGTTGCTAAAGGTTTTTCTCAGTCCTATGGCATCGATTACCAGGAGACTTTTGCACCGGTTGCAAAATTGAATACCATCAGAATATTGTTATCAGTAGCTGTTAACATGGACTGGAAATTGCATCAACTGGACATAAATAATGCTTTTCTGAATAATAACCTTGAAGAAGAAGTATACATTGAGGTCCCCCCGGATTAGAAGGAAAGGTCACTAAGAAAACTGTGTGCAAGCTCAATAAATCCTTATATGGCTTAAAACAGTCTCTCAGGGCTTGGTTTGATCGATTTGCTAAGGCTATGACACAGAATGGTTTCAAACAAAGCCAAGCGGATCACACATTATTCAGAAAAATTACACCGCGTGGTAAGATAACCCTCCTAATTGTCTATGTAGATGATATGATTATAACTGGCAGTGATATAGAAGAAATAGAAAAGCTAAAGATGAATCTTGCAAAGGAGATTGAAACCAAGGATTTAGGGAGTATGAGGTATTTCCTGGGTATGGAAGTTGCAAGGTCCGAAGAAGGGCTGGTCATAAACCAACGTAAGTATGTTTTGGATCTTCTTGCAGAAACAGGGATGCTCGACTGCAAACCAGTTGAAACTCCAATGGAGCCAGGCTTGAAATTTTGCAAAGACTTGACTGGAAATCCAATAAACAAGGAAACCTACCAAAGGTTAGTTGGGAAGTTGATCTACCTTTCACTGACCAGGCCTGATATTACATACTCAGTGAGCATTGTCAGCCAACATATGAGTGATCCTCGAGAAGAACATTTGGAAGCTGTTAACAGAATTCTAAGGTTCTTTAAGTTTACCCCAGGAGCTGGACTTATATTTAGAAAAAATCAAGAAAGAACAGTGAAGGTTTATACGGATGTAAGCTGGGGAGGTGAATTAACTGATAGAAGGTCAGTTAGTGGCTAATGTGCCTACGTTTGGGGTAATATGGTGACTTGGAGAAGTAAGAAACAAGTCGTTGTCTCTCGAAGTAGTGTTGAGTCAGAGTTTAGAGCAATGACTCTCGGAATATGTGAAGGGATGTGGATTAAAAGACTGCTCACAGAACTGGACTTAGATGACAAGAAGAATTTTGAGATTTTTAGTGACAGTCAATCAGCTATGAGTATAGCAAAAAACCCAGTGCAACATGATAGAACGAAACACATTGAGATAGACAGACATTTTATTTACGAGAAGGTCAACAATGAAGTTGAACAACTGCAGTACATTCCGACGAAGAAACAGCTTCCAGATATCTTCACTAAAGCCCTTCCACGAGTGACTTTTGATGAGCTGCCATTCAAACTGGGTATATACAACATATATACACCAGTTTGAGGGGGAGTGTAGGAATTATGCAATGAGCTATCAAGAGATTCTGTAATTATTTTCTGTTTTTCAAATCCCTTATTTCAAGGGATTACATCTCCTAGGGTTAGTATATTTCCTAACTTAGAGTTTCCTAGTTTAGAGGCATAATTTGTATATAAATATGTAATATGTTTCTACTGAAAGTATGCAAGAATAAAATAACAGACTTGATTGTTTCCTACAGTCTGTTTTCTACTATACAGTCTGTTTTCTTTCTATAGTCTGATTTCTACACAGACAAGCACATTCTTACACACTGCACAAATGTATTAATGTCTAAACAGACCAACCTCCTCAATCTCCCTGACAACACGATCTGGCTCAGCACCTGGAAGATCTATCTTGTTTAAAACCTGCAGAAAGAAGAAAGCCGAATCATCCATAAATCATATCACTTACTTGTGAGAGAAATGTTAGTTCCTTGATAAAGAAACTAAAAATAGAGGAGCCAGAAATTCATAATTATGCTGACAGAAAACAGAAGCATCTGTCCATGATAGAGAAAATTAAAAGGAATGAATAAAACAAAAGAGAGTCCCAAGCCTAAAACACTGATATAGTAAAACTTATTTGATTCAGGTCTGAAGAGGAGCCATCCTGATTTTTCTGCTTCATTGTTGCTCATAACATTGTAGCATATATTTTTTTCATGGTAAATGTTGCTTATGTTTGCAGCACTATAGCAGCTTTAAAATGTACCTGTAATTTTTCAATTCACCATAACAGGGGCCACCTACAGTTGCTGAATTGATGGCAATTAAAAGGGGATTGAACCTTTTTTTGAGTCTCAATGGGGTTGTAAAGGGAGGTTAATCATTGAGAGTGATTGCCTTGTTGTGATTAAGTTTTTTTTATAGGAATTGAAGGCCTCATTAAAAAAACCCTTCATGATTAAGGAACTCAGATTGAATTCCTTAATCAGAGGAAGGAGGAAAAGAGTGTCTTATACTTTATTAATAAAAGATACATAAAATTTACAACATCAAGATAAAACCATAACAAACAATCCTAAGAACCCAAAATAAAATACCCCTAAAAATACACTCAAATTAGCCAATACCAGACTTAGCCAACCCATCAACCTCTATATTGGTTTTCCTAGCTACCCATGTAATAACACCTTACACTTCTTTAAGCTTAACCGCTATATCCCTAACAATAGAGGCATAGACATCAGGACACATAGTTCCATTCTTAACCCATTCCACTACTATTTTACAATCTGATTCTATAATCAACCGACCCTTAATACCTCCTCTTACTGAATGAAAGAAATATAATCCCTTCTGAACAGCCTTTAACTCCATCAAAATAGGTGGACCCGGACCAATAGCCTCCTTAAAAGAACCTAAAAAGTAGACCTTCATCATCTCTTAGAATACCCGCAATTCCACTGCTCTTCCAATCACAACTGGTAGCTGCATCCATATTCAATTTGACAAAGCCCTTAGGAGGGGGGACCAAGGGATCGTAGAGACAATCGATTTGTTGAGAGGGAAACATGAATCCTCAAGGGAAGGGTCACTAATAAGAGAATCCATAGAGATGACAGAATCTGCAAACTTAGCTAAGAACCAAGATGCAAGCCTAGCTCTTGCTAAGAAAAATAAGTTAGTCTAGTCTAACTTCCCTCTTTCGAAGACAATATCATTTCTAACTTTCCAAACAGTCCAAATAATAGCAGCCGGAATAAAGTTCCAAATAGCAGAACTAGAATTTAGTTCTTCCCAAGCTAGGAGGAAGTTCTGTGCATTTTCTTGAAAAAACCGAACTAATACTCCAATACTGCACAAATTTGTTCCAGAGTGACCACACGACAGAACAAGAGAAAAACAAATGAGAAGAAGATTCATCAACCAAATTACAAAGAGGACAAGAGAGATCTACAATACCCGTAACCCCTCTTATAACCAGTTCAGACCTCACTGGCAGCTTTTTGAAGAACCATCTGCCACATAAAAAGCTCAACTCTTGGTGGCACCAATCCTTTCCACAAAATTTTCTTCCAAAAAGAATTCTCCTTGGAAGCCAGGGAACAAATCTTCACACATGAATTTACAGAAAAAACACCAGCCCCGTTCCCTTTCCAGATTAGACCATCACTGACCTCTTTAGATAAACAAAAATTAGAAATTATAGTCATCAGATTAGCCCACTGTTCAAATTCCCAATCTGCCAAACTCCTCAACTGAATATTCCAAATCCAACCCAAAGAACTAAACTCGCTGAATTCAATTAATTTGCCACTCTGATTTGAAGAGATAGCAAACAACCTCGGAAAAGAGACCTTAAGAGGGCAGTCCATTGCCCAGTGGTCCTGCCAAAATCGAATAAACTGACCACTACCAACTTGAATTCTACACATACTACGAAACTTTGAGCCAAATGAGTCTTCTTTAAAATGAGTTTTAACCACTGAACTCCAAATCTAAGAAACTTGAGCTGGAATCTTGCTATTGAACAATAATGAATAAGGATCAAGATTGTATTTAGAACATATCAACCTCCTCCAAACACATTCCTATCATTAGCAAACCTACAAGACCATTTCCCCAGAAGAGCTCTATTCATATTTATAATATTTACACTCCCAAACCTCTCTCATCCTTAGATTTGCACACATTGGGCCAGCTAACCCAATGAATCTTGTTTCTCTCCATTCCACCTCCCCATAAGAACTTAGACATAATGGAATTGAGTTTGGAATTAACCGAGGGGGGAATTTTAAAAAGAGACAAGTAGTAAGTTGGAAGTGAACAAAGAACCGATTTAATCAAGATTAACCTCTGCCAATGAAAGAGTGACAGCTTTCCAACCTGCAAGCTTCTTGTAAAAATTTAAAACAACCGGATCCCAAAGAGAGGAAGAACCCCGTGTTGCACCAAGAGGCATGCCTAAATAGTCAGAAGGAAAATTCGCAACTGCACAACCAATAGACGACGCCCACTCCTCAACCTCTTCTGTAGCCGTATTAACACCAAATAACCTGCTTTCCTTTAAATTCAATTGAAGACCAGACATGACTTCAAACACTCTTAGGACTCTCTTAACATTTAAAATATGTTTCTTTGAAGCCCCACAGAAAATAATTAGGTCATCTGCAAATTGCAGATGAGATATATTAATAGCAGTCTCATTACTCCCAATCTGCAGTCCACAAAACAGTACCTCAGAGACCGCCTTTAAAAGCAGTAAGTTTAGAAGTTCCCCAACTAAGTTATACAACAAAAGAGACAGAGAACAACACTGACGAAGACCCTTGCCATAGAAATTCCTGAGAAGGGACCCATAGATCAAAACTGAAATTGAAGTTGTTGTTACACATTGTCTAATCCAACTCCTCCATTTGATGCCGAATCCCATTTTCTCCATAACCTTAAAAAGAATAGATCAATCCACAGTATCATAGGCCTTCCTAAAGTCCACTTTAAGCACACAGCCTTTAAGTCTTTTTTTCCTCCAAAAGTCAACCCCCTCATTAGCTATAAGAGAGCAATCCAATATTTGACGACCTGGAATGAAGGTAAACTGCGTAGGGCTTATCAAATCAGTAATATAATTCCTTAATCTCCTCGAAAGACATTTTGAAAGGATCTTGTACAACCCTCCTACAAGGCTTATAGGTCTAAAATCATCTAATCCACCAATATTAGACACCTTGGGAATAAGAGTAATAAAAGTATGATTTACTCCATGTTCCCAATCTTTCCCCATATAAAAGTTATGAAAGAATTTCAAAATATCGACCTTTAGAACAGACCAAAATCTCTTGAAAAAGCCCATATTTAAACCATCCGACCTAGGAGCTTTGTTGCTATCACACGATTGTAAAGTCTCCCAAATTTCTCCCTACGTAAATTCTTTTTCCAAAAAAACACTTTGCTCCACTGAAATTCTGAAAAAATCCAGCTTCATATCTTCCACTTCCAAGGTAGACCTAGTGTTAAAAATTCCAAAAAAATGGTCCTTGACACTAGCTTTGATAATAGCCGGATCTTGAGTAATCTCACCATTGACATTCAGAGCACTCATGAAATTCCTCTTCCTCCTAACTGAAGCACATGTGTGAAAAAATCTTGTATTACGATCCTCGTCTTCCACCCATTTTGATCTCGATTTTTGAAACCATATATGTTCTTCAATTTTGTAAAGCCTCCATAATGCTGTTCTCATAGCAGTCAATTCTACTCCTTTTTCACTACCATATGAATCTTGCAACTGCTGGAAATTTTCCTCTTTCAAGTGAATTTTCCTTTCTAATTCTGCAATCTCTACAGCTGGATAATGGTCTCTCTTCCCCGCCCATTTCTTAATCGCCAGTTTCATTGTTTTCAGGATAGATAAAATTTCAACTCTCTTTTGTTTACTCTTACATTCTTGAACAGTATAATCAACTAAATTTTGAAAACCTTCCTCATCCATCAAATAATTAAAAAGTCTGAATGGTTTTTTACCCCAACTAACTCCCACATTCTCAAGAAAAATGGCATTATGATCTGACACAGACCTTGGTAACAAATACTGTGAAGTTTCAGGAAACACTTCCAGGAAATGGACATCAACTAGGAACCTGTCCAATCTAACAAAAGTGGGTATATCCTGGTTGTTACACCATGTGAACCTACCCTCATGTAAAGGTAAATCAATTAAACCTATCTACTGGACAAAAAGACTGAAAATCCTTATTGAATTTCTATTTTGAGCTCTCCCAACCTTCTCTTCTTCTGAAAGATACACATTAAAATCACCTCCCACACATAGAGAGATACTCTGTCCATAAATAAAAACAGCTAATTTTTCAAAAAAGCTAGCTTTTTCTTCTTCAACAATTGGCCCATAAACATTAATAAAACCACACCTAAATTGTGTAGTTAGAAATTTTCCAAAAATAGCAATGAACCTTCTGTTTATAACATGACTTTCCACTTCAAGCATGCACTCATCCCAACAACTCAATAGACCTCCAGAAGAACCGACTGCTGGAGATTCTGCAAACCCTTGAAGAGTATTCAAACCACTCCTCCTTAAAAAATGTCTCTGAACCTTCTCCAATTTCGTTTCTTGCAGCAGGAGTATTATAGGGCGTTTCTTTAAAACTAAATTTTGAACAGTTCTGTGTTTTTCCTTTCTTCCCAATCCCCTAACGTTCCATGTAATAACGGCTAATTGAATTTTCATCATAAATAAATAGAGAACCAGAACACCCAAGAAAAACAGAAGCTCAGACCAGCCTCAAATCTTCCACCAACTTTATAATTTTTTTCCAAAAGGGTTGACTTCCCATCCTTGAAAGGCACCCCCAATAGCTTACTGATTTCCCAAGTGGCTAATGCTTCCTCCAAGAGAACCGAAA